TACATAATTCCAAATGTGTCCATTCATACTTTTGATGCCTTCAGTGAGAATCTACAATGTAAACAGTTATGAAAATAAAGAAAAACATTAAACCTTTGACTGGTAGTTTACATCAGTTTTCTGTGTTTTGACATTGAGCTGAGAGTTCGGTAGAAGAAGGTACAGTTACATTTCAGTGAACCGGCCAGCTCAGAAGCGCACACCTGTGCCTCTTCCTCATTATTCCTTCTAAACTCTGACTTTGAAGGCAAAATGTTGGGCTGAAAGTGGGCAGAAGTGTCCTTGTTGTAGTTTAGAAACATTACTCTCATAAACACATCTGTCATAAATCTTCTTCTTCCTTCGTAGGCTGATGCGAAGAATAAAGCTGCACAGAGCAACATCCAGGGAGGACGTCTGCCACCAAAACAAGCCACGGCGCTTCTGAAGAGATATCCCAACCTGTGCAAAGAGATCTGATGCACAAACACTTTAATGCTCTTCTTGTACAGATTTGGACTGGGACGCTCTCGGAGATGAATTTGGATGATGTCAGGGTGTGTCGAGCTGCCAGCTGCCAAATAAATAATGAAATAAATCAAATGAGTGGAATATTGAAAAGGGTGATTGTTGCTTTTACCCTTCACTGTAAGGTTCTTTCACACCTCTGTTAGTGTGTAACATGCACTTGTGTTCTTAAAATATAAAGGAACTGTTTCATGTCCTGAATTGAAACTGATGTCGGTTTTTTCTTAATCTAATTTGCAAAGTGGTTTTATTCAGTGCAAAGATGGTAAGTGGATGTGATGGGATTATTCTTCTTGGGTTGCATGGCTCTGGCCTATCGCTGAACACTGAACCCATCGTTCCTGTGGAAGCTGATATTGGTGCTCAGCAATGTCAAAATTGAATCAGCCAGAGAGACGTGCATTAAGTACAGTAAACGAGGTTGGTGTGTTTGATGCAGATATCTGTGATTGGATTTGAACACTTAAAAAAAACAAACATTCATAAGTAACTTTCTCTGAACCTGTACTTTAACAACAGTGTAAACCCAATGAAGCTAATCACGTGACTCCTGCTGCTTCAACCTTACAGGCTCTGTTAGCTGCATTCTACCATTTGTGGACAAGTTACTACCAGTTGACACATTCCTCCTCCTCCTCGTAAAGCTCGGTTGTGTTGGTTGGGTTTGTGTATCTCACTTCCATAGACGCCCTTGCACTGCACCACCGTCTGAAACTGATATTTTATCAAACACTTGCGTGTGTGTTAAAATGTAACTTTTTGAAGAGTATTTATATGAAGGTTGCACTTCATGCACTCTTCATATCAGAGTGTTGCTTTGGAATCAGTTTTGTAACACTGGCTTTGTGTTCAAAGATTTGAACTATAGCAATATATTGTAAATCAATACAAAATATTATTATTGTGATGATATTTGTATATTTCAGTATCTGCTGATCTATTGGAATTTTACAACAATCTCTGGGGCCGGACTTCAGCCATGGAGGGTCCAGGTTCCCAGCTTAGCCACGATCCTTTCTCTCAGGTCAGCTGCTTTCACACTGAAACAGCTTCAATGCACCAGGTGGGGCTTGGTGCTCAGTCTCAGATGGAGATTATGATTTCTCCCCCCTGACATCCTCACGTCCCACTGTGTAGTATTTGTGTTGTACACTGAGATCCTAGATGTTGGGTATCACAGATTCCACATCCTCTTCATGTAACACCTTTAATTTCTTTGTATTACCTTATTTATTAAGTTACTGTAGTTGGTGGCCTGTGGGCATACATTCCTTTAATGTTATCTTATTTACTGGATACGTTATTGTAAATGATTCGTCATGACAAACACAATCAGAACTAAAACTGAATAATAAAGCTTTACAGTTATGCTACATTAAGCTTAAGTGATCAGGACTATATTTCTAGGCAATCTTCCACTTTGGGGTGGAGCCTTTCCCAGCTGTGCAGCAGGTGGCGTGCCCCCTGCAAAGGTCACCAGTCTGTCACAGTAATAACACAGAGACTTGCATTCATGCTTGTATTCAAACACACAACTAATTTCAAATCATCAGTTACCCAACAAGGAGCGCTGGGATGAAGGCAGAGTACCCAGACGGAAATCCACTCAGACACAGGAAGAACGCAGCTTCCACACTGAGCAGCTCCACACAGCAAGAAAGGTTCAAATCCACTATTAGCCAGCAGTCCACCACTGCACGGCTGCGTGGCTCTGATAGTACATTAGATTTAAAATCCTGTCGCTGCTTTTCCTTCACTGACAGCAGCATTTTGAGCTAGATTGATTTTTAAAATGTGGTTAATATGACGCTTTGTTTCTCTTGACATTTAGCTAACGATGTTGAAAGTGTGCGTTGGTTTCATGTTTTGTCTAAGGCACAGGAAGGACTTGGGCTGTTTGCACCAGCCGCTGTGAGAACATGTTGCATCCCTGTTTATCTGCACATCATTTCCCCACCCTGCTTATCACTTCCTCCCAAATATCCACACTCAGCAGGAACTTTCTCACAGTCCACAGTAATTACTATTTCATACACACCTTCGGGCTTCTTACACATTCAATTACACCACATATATTATTTATTTACCTAATTATCTAAAAAATAACTGAATTATAGATTAAATATAAACACAAACCCCAAGTACAGCCATTTGTAGTATATTCCCTGTTGTGTCCAACACTTTTAATGGGAGGGTTATAGTATTAACAAACACGGGAGCTACGTGTTGCTAAGTCAACGTTACTCTTAGCTGCTGTTCACTGGTGTTGCACTGATGTTGCTCAGAATAAGTTTGTGACAAATGTTCCAAGTATATCTATCCAGTGATGCTTTTGGAAAAAACAAACAAACACAGGAACCTCGAGGTGGTTTTTTGGTTCAGCCCACGTCGATGGCTGTTAGCACTTAGTGGGCCTGAGAAGGTTCTCAGAGTCTTTTTAGGGTGTTTCTGTGGGATCTCTGAACCTGTTGCTTCTCATCTTTGTCACCTATCTCTACGTATAGTTTTAATTACACAATCTGTTCCAAACCCCCAAACTGTTGCTGATATACCGATTCTTAGGACCTCCACGCCTGTAGTTGCCTTCATCATCAGTTAGAGCTCCTGCACATGCTTCTGTGGTTCACTGCTTTGGCCATTCTCCCTTTAGTTCCCCTGTGGGCTCATTTTTTCCCCAACACTACATCTTTATCAATCCTGATATTTCTGGTGATCCAGTTTATTATTGCAATTATTAGGCCTGTCTCTACTGGCTGCTATGAATATGTGGTACATGTGTTGTGTTTGTGTACAGGAGCTGGTAATGCTAGCATTAACAGACAAGTACTGCTAGCTTGGAAGTTGTAGTGGGTTTAAAGAAAAATAAATACACTCCCTTTTTGCACAAATCCGCTGTGGGAGGGGAGCTGGGGTGGGCAAATTGTTTACTTGGAGGTATTTCTTTTGACCTTTTTTTTGTCAGATGCACGACACATGAACACGCGGTGTTAGAGGCGTCTGAAGCCTCAGCCCAAAGACGGAGATGATTAAGATCAGGGTCGTAATCATCTTCGTTTTGTTTGTTTTGTATTTGTTTTTTCTGGCAAACTTTTACAATCAGTGCCAAGAAAAACGCAGCTTATCAGGCTCTGCTTATCTGTCTGATCCAGTCCTGTTCAGAAGTTGTAGCAAGCAGAATAATGGTCTGAGGGAGGGGGGGGAGATGTTGAGGATAAAGCAAACACACAGGCTGGGTCTCCAACCGCTGCATCTGGAGCAAAGCATACTCAAATGATACACAACACCTAGGAAGCAACAAGGGGGCAGTAAGGGGAATCCCCAACCTTAATAACAATCTCCCAGAGGGACCAGCAAGCCCCAGACTCAGGCCGAGTACCACACTGAGCCAGCAATGATCCAGGGAGGCAGTCAGCAGGTCCCCTATCACCGGGTAGAGTGTAGGAAATGTGGGTGTAGAAGACCTGCCTGATGTGTAAAAAGTGAGTGACTGGTTCAGCCTGATCACAGACCTGCTGTTGATGACTTAGCTGGAGCCGTTTCATAAGTAGTGGCTTCAGTCTTCAGTGCTGCGCAGCTCCTTGTTTTGTTTATGCTGACGCTGTCAAAAGGATATTAAGCTGCTTTTTCCGGTGCTCAGCCTTTGCTTGGACTCGTTCACACGGAGAGGTGAGCTGTCTTTGATTTAGAGTGAACATGCGGACTGGAATCTGTGGAAGCCCAAGAATAATAATAATAATGGATTGCATTTATATAGCTGTACAAGTCCACTATTATT